TTAAAAAAAAAATGCCATTTATTATGTGCTTATTATGTTTTCAGGCACAGAACGAAACACAGCACAAATATTTTATTTGCCCCCCAACAATCCTACTGAAACTCCCATATGATACCCACAGAAACAATAGCATGGATGGGAAGTAACTTGCTCAAGGACACATTCCTAGATACACCTCAGTGACGCTGGTCTCTAGACCTCTGGCTGGGACCCCACCCTCCCCTCTTGTGATAAATGCACCCAGATTGTTCAAAACAGAGCCAGCTGACCCCCTCTACCTGCAGCCGCCCACAGGAGCGTCCAGGCTGACAGACCTCAGTGAAAAACGACTCCACGTCCTCAGCTGCCCCAACCCCGCTTACAACCTTAATACTGCTTCTCAGCGTGCCGTCCACGTTCCGAAAAGCCTACTGAAGGACCTGGGTAAGACAGCCATTGATGAGAAGGCCTGGCACATTTCCTGGGCATCCCAGGACTGAAGAGTCTGTGACTTGTCTTTTGTTTTTTTAAGGGGATCTTTTTTTTTTCCCCAGTTTTTATTGAATTTGTTACAACATTACTTCTGTTTTATGTTTTGGGGCTTTTTTGTCCACAAGGCATGTGGGATCCTAGCTCCCTGACAGGGATCAAACCCACACCCCCTGCATTGGAAAGCAAAGTCTTAACCACTGGACCTCCAGGGGAGCCCTGTGACCTGGCTTTGAACTTGGCTCTGCTAGGTTCCCTATTTGTGCAGTGGGTGGTCACTCTGGAGGTGTTTTGTTTTCAGGATTGAGTGGGGAGTAACACGCAAAATAGGCAAAGGAATTAGCAGAAAAACTGGTTCTGCTCTTTGGCTGCCTCTGCCACCGCCACCTGCAGTATTCAAGCCCCTGCCTTTGGACCTGGGTGTCTGGCCACCCACCCACCATGGCGGCTGCCTGAACACTTGCACCTTCCCCGGGTCCCACCCCCTCTCCTTCTATATCCAGTTACATCCAAGTTACCCTTGCATCATTTTCCTACTTAAAAAAAAAAAATTTGATTCTTCTTTCTTGAAAAGGTACTTTAAAAAGTCTTAAAGTGCCACGCCCTTTAGGCCACGCCCTGAGGCATGTGGGCTCTTGGTTCCCCAACCGGGGATCTAACTGCAGCCTACACTCCTGCAATGAAAGTGCAAGTCTTAACCACTGGGCCACAGGGGAAGTCCAGAAAAAAGTATTTAAAGAGGAAACTGTCTATCACTAGTGTAGACAGAAAGCCCGTATAGTTTGCCATCCATCTGAAGTAACCAGAAAAACAAACATGAGTCACAACAATGTTGCTACTTCCAGGGATGGGGGTGAAGAAGGAAACAGGCTGATATCACAGGGTGTTAGGGAGACTAGAATCTGGATGTTGGGGCTGGAGGTGAGGAGGAGGGTTAGCGGTCGGGGACTGAGTCTCAGTTTGGGAAGGTGAAAAAGTTCTGCAGATGATGGCGGAGATGGCCCCACAGCAACGTGAATGTACTTGATCTCACTGATCTGGACACGAAGATGGTCACTTTAATGATATGTGCATTTTACCAATTTTTTGTTTAAAAATAAAAAATAGGAACAACATGTTGGCACCAGAAACGAAAATTATCTCCAGAGTGTCTAACCGGACACGGGAACCCAAGGACAGGGAGGTCAGGAGTGGAAAAAGGAGAAGTGACGGTTGTGCAAAGAAGAGGTGGGTGGGGGCAGAGGAAGACACAGCCCCCCCCCACCCGCCAGCTAACCATCCCCCACCACACTCACACACTCACACACACGAGCCAGAGCCGACAGGGCGGAAGTCACCTCGGACGTCACCACGCGAGCAGAGTGGGGTGAGGGTCAGGGACAGGCAAGGGAAGCAGGAAGGAAACCACCCGGGAAGCAGGTCCACTCGGTAAACACACTCGGTCACCTCCTTCTGTGGGTCTGCGAGCGGGGACCCGAGCACCCATGGGGGAACCAGGACCCTGGGCGGGGTGGTGGGGGGCACAGCCAGGCCCCGGTCACCAGCCCAGCAGCCCACTCCAGTACTCTCGCCTGGGAAATCCCATGGACAGAGGAGCCTCGTGGGCTACAGTCCATGGAGTCATAAACAGCTGGACACAACTCTCCGACTGAGCGTGCACCCAAGCAATAACATGAAAGATCAAAAAAGAATCAGGAACTTGTCACAAAACCAGCAGTGCTGGTTTGACGGGAGGGTTCAGTCAGGTCTGGCCAACCAGTCAGAGGCTGCAGATCCCCAAAGAGGGTGGGCCAGGAGGCGCCGCCCCCTGTCCCGTCCCCCTCCGCGGGCTCTCGCTCCACGGAGACCATCACTCAGCCCCCGGAGCGCCTCCCTCCTGAGACTCGCGCTGACGCGGGAACAGTTCAGACTTGATGCTCTCTATAGTTCTCCTCACCTTAAAATTGCCTGAGTATTTGATGCTATAAAATCAAGAAACAGGAAAAGTAAACTTGAAGCCCCTGGCGCAGGAAGGCAACGATCCAGTAAACCGGGAGCCGGGCTGAAAATCCAAAGATGAGCAAGAACTCCCCCAGGGTCCGGGGGTCATGTGCTCTGTTCACCACCTCACAGACTTCACAGTGACCTCCGTGGGTGAAGAAGGAGGCGGATAGAAAGCTTGCCTGCACACCCACTCTTAAAGTTCCAGAAGAGACTCTTCAAAAACTAAAACAACACCTGACTGGACTAGGAAGAGCGGACTGAAAATAAACATTTCCAGAAGACTTTCCTGTGACATTAAGGGAGAAGTCACAGCACCAAACACCTCCGAGACACTTAAGCAGTCACACATTTGCAATAAAAACTATGGATCATATTCAAAACAAGTTATAAGGTACTTAGCACTCCCTGATGCATCAGAGATTAGAATTTTTTTTTCCCCCTTCCTCCTAAGAAGCTAGATAGGTAAATTAAAATCCATTAGTTTTTCAGAGAAAAAAGCAGTTGGGGGAAAAAAAACAGTTGTTACTTCAAAAACAAAAAACACAGCTCTAGAATCTCAGGAAGTAGCACCCAAGGACATTCAAGGGGATTCATTTGAAGCCAGCTGTTTGTAACAGTCAGCTTCCTTTTCCTTGACCCCATATCAAGAAAAGAGACAACTTCAGCTAGAGAATGAGCACAGTCTCAGGCAAAGTCTGGACTGACAGCTGATCCCCCAACACCAGTCAGGGCCCTGGACAGGATGTAGAAAAGTTAGAGCCAAGATCAGCCTCTGATACCAAGCCAGAAATACGACCCACCAGGTGCAGAGGCACTAGCCCGAAAACGCATTTGGCTAACCTGGACTGTCATTTCAGGAGGGGACCTTCAGAAAACAATAGGTACTAGTAGCGCATGCACGGGGCTCAGTGGGTAAAGAATCTGCCTGCAATGCAGGAGATGCAAGAGGTGCTGGTTCAAGCCCTGGGTTGGGAAGATCCCCTGAAAGAGGGTTTGGCAACCCACTTGAGCATTGTGGCCTGGAGAATGCCATGGACAGAGGAGCCTGGTGCGCTAGTCAGTCCATGGGGTTGCAAGGAGTCGGAGACGACTGAGGTGACTCAGGAGAAAGCAGTCAGAGGACCGGCACCACGGCCTCTGGAGGTGCACGGACAACTGTCCGCACAGACTTAACACATGCTGGGCTCTGCAGTGTGATCACACCTGATACCCTGTCTAGCCTGGCAACAAGCAGCCCAAGGAAGGAGCAAGGGTGTAGCATGTGGGCGGCACCCTCCCTTTCATCTCTGGCAAGGTGGCCCGGAGGCATGGTAGGGCCTCAGCCACACCCAGCACTCAGCACCCTGCTAGGAATGAACCTGCTGTGAGTGGAGGCCCCTTCAGGCCGCCTTCTTCTCCTTCTTCTCCCTCGCTGAGGGATGCAGCGGCTGGACCACATTACCCAGCCACGTTGGGGTAAGGCATACCCCTAGTCCCATTAGCTCCTGGGGTTCCCAGATCACACTCCCCACAAGGTGCAGAATTCCTGAGCCCCCAGCAAGCTAGGAATCCAGGCCAACCCTGCTCTGCGGGCAACCTGGGGTAAATCAACAACCATTCTTTTGCATCTTTCATCTGTAACGTAGGTGTAAGTGTTAAGTCGCTCAGTCCTGTCTGACTCTTTGTGACCCCATGGACTGTAGCCCACCAGGCTCCTCCATCCATGGCATTCTCCAGGCAAGAATACTGGACTGTGTTGCCATTTGTTTCTCCAATGTAGTTGTATCATGTGTTAAAAACCAAGGGTTTGTCCGAAAGATCTCTCATCAAAGGCTTACATTCCTTCCCAAGACGCTGCACTGCTGACTCAACTCCCACGCACACCTTCCCGGCTTCCCCACAAGCCAGGTTCCCACACCAGTCCGGCGCCAGGAAAGAGTCACCAGACAAACTCCAGCAAGCTGCCTTCGTCCCTAACCCAAGGTTCTGCAGGGCGCCGACTACCCCTCCCGGAGCCTGAACGAGAAAGGAGTGCGACCACGTGGACGCGCATCCCGGGCCCAGCAGCTCTCCTGTGCGACCCTCTCCCCCAGCAGAGGGGCCCTACGGAAGCCCGGAACCGACAGGCCTTCGGAGGCCCTCAGCCGCACCCGCCAGACGCCCTCCGCGAGTCCAGCAGACCGCTGGGCTCCTGACCGCACCCCTGCACCCCGGCAGGCCCCCTCCTGCCCGAGCGCGCCGAGGCCCGGGCGGCGCCATGCGCAGTGGCGGCGACCGGCGCGCACGCCGCCGGGTCACAAGCAAACAGTAGCCCGGGCAGTGGCCGATCGGCCGCCAACCCAGGGCCCGAGAGCGCGCGCCGGCGCACCTGCTGCATGGGCCTGCGGGGGGCGTGCGGCTCCCCGCCTCCCGGCGCCAGCCCGGCCCGGAGGCCGCGCGCCGCAGGCCCCACTGGACCTGCCCGGGGCCGCGGCCACCTCCCCGCGCCCGCGCACCTGCCGCGCGCCCGCTCGGCCGCCCGTGTGCAAGGCCCGCCTCCCGCTCCGGCCCGGCGCCGGGCCGCGCCTCACCAGCGGTAGCAGCCCTCCGAGGCCTCCAGCGTGAAGTTCACGCGCGTTGCCCGCGTGAAAGGCAGCAGCACCTTGGGGATGTTGAGCTTGGCCGCCCGCGCGCCGGGACCCAGCGCCAGCAGCCCCGAGACCAGGAGCAGCAGCGGCCGCAGCTCCCGGCCCCCAGCCGCCATCCTCGCCGCGCTTCACCTCCCGCGACCCGGTGCCCGGCGGCCCGCGCGCTCCCCTCGCGCCCTCCGTCCCCGGTCGCGCGCGCCCGGCCGGCAGGTGATAAGCGCGGGAGGGAGTGGGGCGGGGCGAGGGCCGCGGCCCGGGGCCACTTCCTGGGCCCCGGCGCGACCTGAGCGCGGGAACTGAAGGGGCCGGGCTCCCATCCCCAGCCCCGGGCCCTGCGGGGCGGGGCGAGGGGCTGGGGCGCGCGCCCGGGGCCCCGCGGCGGGTGGGTGAGTGGGATGGGGTGTGCGCCCGAGTCACCGTGGCCAGGGAGAAAAGATGCGGCGCCGGCCTGCAGGACACCCCTCGACCACGTGGGAAGCCCTACACGGTTTCCTGGCCTCCATGTTCGGACCCCTGGTTCAAACTCCTCTCTGCCACCCGCAGCCATTCACTGGGCCCCGTGCAGCGCCTCTGGCCAGTGAGCCTGGCCAAGGTCTGACAAACAAGTCGGCCAGGCTCCTGAGACCTCGAGCTCGATCGAGGGAGACCCCCATCAACACGCGAAGGAACAGGCTCCCAGGAAATCCGGAATGCGTACGCGTCCTGGCCTGGGCATCCATAAGAGGCGCCCAGTTGCGCAAATGTAAGCCACATGCTGAAGTCCTGGACCCTTCTACCCCCGCCCCCCCACCCACCCAGGGAAGCACTGTGATCTCAAGAAGAAACAAGGTGAGTTGGCCTGAAGGCCTCTCAGCTAAGAAAGACAGCGCCGAGGCTCTCAGACCCCAAAACCCTGTTCTCTGCGCTGCACCCGCTCTCTTCCGGAAACCATGGGGAGGTTACTCAAAGGGCAGATTTAGGGCGCCAACACCGCTAGAGCACACCCTAGCGCTCCTCTGCCCTCAACAGCGAGAGAGGGGGAACTGCGCAGCATCAGTAAATTCTGGGCGCAGAAGTCTTAGATCTTAAATTCAATCTACTGGTTGTGCTCTGGGTTTGTAGTTTTCTTTGTCCTGATTTCTGGGAGGAGAGGACTCAGCAGGCCCCCTACTCCCAGTAGATTAAGATGTTAATCCGCTGCGCTGCGGGAGGCCCCAGCCTAGTGGGAGGTCGGGAAAGGGCGGAGCAAGTGCCCAGGGGCCCCGAGTGTGAAGGGTCCAGGAAGTGTGCCCTGAATTGTAACCCGGGAGGCCCCTTGATCCCCTGGAGGAGGGTACGGACACCGCTGCAGTATTCTTGCCTGGAGAATCCCGTGAACAGAGGAGCTTGGAGGGCTATAGTCCATGGGATCGCAGAAGAGTCAGACAGGAGCGAGCAACTAACACTTTGACTTTTCAGGCCTCTTGATGACCCTGTCTGAGGGTGGAGGGGGAGGCTGAACTTCAGTCCTGCTGGGAAAGGCTTCTAGGAGCAGGTGGCCCCTGTGTTGGGCAAAGACATCTCACTGGGTCTCAGAAAGGCCCTGATGGCCGGAGTCTGCCCCTGACGGGCCGTCCAGCTTTGAGACAGTAAAGAGGGGTGTTTGGGAATCACCCTCAAAGCCTTTTCTGGCAACTCAGGTGGTAAAGAGTCTGCCTGCAGTGTGGAAGACCCAGGTTCGATCCCTGGGTCCAGAAGCTCCCCTAGAGAAGGAGCAACCCACTCCAGTATTCTTGCCTGAGAATCCCATGCATGGAGGAGCCTGGCAGGCTACAGTCCATGGGGTCACAAAGAGCTGGATATGACTGAGCAACTTCACTTTCACTTTCACTCAAGGCCTAAAGGCCCCAGACCAGAGATCTCTGTGAGCTGGGCTCTTTCCTGTGTGGAGCCAAGGGCTCTGGGAGGGGAAATTCCAGTGGATTCTCTTGTGTAAAGAAATGAGTTGTATGAAAAAAAACAGCCCCAGAGTGGGTAACTGTGAGGAATTCTTAGTGTTCTTGTTTGCATATTTTATTGATTTGTTTTTTTTAGTAAATAATGGATGGTTTAAGCTAAAAAGGCCGGAAAGAGCTCATAGTAAAAGTGACTCCCCCCTCACTCCCTCTCACCCTGTTCCCTTCCCAGAGGCAGTCAGTGTTTCTGCTTGGGTATGCTTCCAGACAGATTTTATGCATATATAAGCAAATACATGTGTGTATACATTTGAAATTCATGATATAACTCGTCATGTTCCAATCTGCCCACTAAAATTGGCAAACCAGGAGCCTTGCCCAGAAGGTAAGTAAATACAAGGGACTCGGCAGGCCATCAGGGATCTTAAGCCCATCTGGCCCATGGGAAGCATGAATCCCTATGACCCCACCTTTCCAGATCTTCTGATTATTGAGGAGAAATCAGTAACGTCAATTTGTAGATAAAACATCTTGACTGTAAGTGAGTGTCAAGACATTATCTTGGACATTTATCCCAGGAAAAGAAAGCTTAGTTTTCACAAAAGCCCATACATACAATGTTCACAGCAGCTTTATTCAGAGCAACCCAACACTGAAAACAGCATAGAAGTCCTTCCATGGGTGATGTTTAACAGACTGGGTCCATCAACACCATGAAATGCTACTTGGCAACAAAGGAAAACACAGCTGATACACTCAGTAACTTGAATTCGAAGCAAATTATGCTGAGTAGAAAAAAGCCAATCACAAAAGGTTACATACAGCATAATTCCATTCATATAACATTCTTTAAAATGGCAAAATTATAGAACTGGAGCACAGGTGAGTACTTGACGGGTGAGAGCCAGACAGGGGAGGGGTAGGTGGTGATGTGGCTCTAAAATATGACCTCTTTGTGGAGATGGAAATGTGTCTTGACTGTGAAAAAGTGAACGTGTTAGTCGTTCAGTTGCGTCTGACTCTGCGACCCCATGGATTGTAGCCTGCCAGGCTCCTCTGTCCATGGCATTCTCAAAGCAAGAATACTGGAGTGGGTAGCCATCCCATCTCCAGGGGATCTTCCCAACCCAGGAATTGTAACTGGGTCTCCTGCACTGCAGGGTAAATCCTGGTTACAGTATGTCCTGTGGGTTTTTTCCTAATTGACATATACTTGATTTATCGATACAATGTTGTCTTAGTTTCAGGTATATAGCAAAATGATTCATTTTTTTTTCAAATTCTTTTCCATTATAAATTATTAGACGATATTGAAAGAGTTTCCCTGTGTGTCCTATAGTTTTGCAAGAAGTCACTGTTGGGGGAACTGGGACGAGGGCGCCCAGGATCTCTCTGTCTCAAACATGTCTCAGTCTGTGTCTTAAAACTGCATGGGAGGGATTTTCCTGGTGGCCCAGTGGCTAAGACTCCAGGCTTCCAATGCAGGGGACCCGGGTTCCATCCCTGGTCAGGGAACTAGATCCCACATGACACAGCTAAGACCCAGCACAGCCAAATACGTAAATAAACACTAAAAAAAAAAAAAAAGTTGCATGTGAATCTACAATTACCTAAAAAAAAAAAAGCTTAATTATGCCAACAGAAAAGCAAGCATACAAACAGGCCTAACAAAATGATCTGGGTAGACACAGCTTGTTGACCACTCATATGCTTACTTTAAGGCAGTCAGGAAATTTCCTCTAAGGAAACCAACCAACAGGAAGCAAGAAAATGAGGGTCAGAACATTTCCCTTTGCTCTTTCTTTTGTCCTTAGCCCCCACCTACCCCCCCCAACCAACCCCCCCACCCAGGTGCCCATGACCCTGGTAAGGAGCAGTGTCTGGGTCCCAGACTCTAAGCGGCACCTGCCCTCTGAGGGTGGTCTGTGTCCTCCCCCTGCCTCTGGACGCCTTCTCTGGGTATCAAGTGCTTAATCTGAGTTTCAGGGGGACAGGGGGCCTGGCCTGAGCAGGCCCAGCACAGAGAGCCCCGTGGAAGGAAGGGACCCCACATTTGTCTGCCTGATAAAGAAAATGAGATAGGACAATGACCTCTATCCCTATGTGCCATGCCTGTCATCTCCTACCACTCAGAAAAAATTTGCAGACCTGAGGACCACTCATACTGGTATTTCCTATTTGTCTTCAAATCAAAGCGTCACATTTATTTAAGAAGGAGACTTTGTCAGTTCTGTAAATAGGAACGCAGTATCAGTTGCTCAAATAGTAGCCATAAAATAAATATAATGAAACAATAGGATGCCTTGAATCTACCAGGAGACACTGTTTCCGGAGCCCAGGGCCCGCGCTGTCTGTTCCTGGGCAGAGGACCAAGTCCCGGCCGACAAGGACCTTTCTCCAGGAGCAAACATAAGTCGAGAGGGGATTTCAAAGGCAAGGAACCTGCTTCTACTGGCATGTTGTCATATTAGAATCTATCTCCCACCTTTTTGCAACAAACAGATTTTTTAAATGGTGCAGTGGAGAAGCTCAAGCATTCACAGTAGTTGCTAGAATAGCATAATGACACCCCCAGCGGGACCATCCACCCCCATGACCACAGCGTCGCCAGCCTTGCTCCTTCTGCAGCCAACTTCAGCACCCCCCACCCCCGCCCCGTCTCTTTGAAACATATCCGAAACATCTTACCATTTCATCTGTATTTCAGTGTGCGTATGGCTAAAAGATAAGAACCCTTTCATGACAACCACAAAACTATCACCACATCTAAAAAACTACCACTAATTCCTCAGTCATAAAATATCCAATCAGGAGTTCAAACTTCCAACTGTCATAGCTTTTCTTCTTTTTTTTTTTTCACAATTTGTACTTTCAGAATCAGGATCCAGGTAAGGTTCACATGTTGCAATGGGCTGAAATGAGCTTTTAATCTGCAGGTTCCCTGTCCAGCTCTCTCTGCCTCCAGGCATTGTCTTTGTTCCTCTTGGGATAACAGTTCTTCTTTAGAGCACTCACGCCTGCCCACCCCCATGCCATCCATCTGCGGGACCCGCCCAGCAGCAGTGGTCTTCCTGCGGCATGAGGCCACAGCTAGCTTCTGGTCACAGTCCCTGAGGATTGAAGACAAGGGAGGGGGGTCCCCACTGTGGGCCTTCTGCACCGTCTCTGAGCTGGAAACCTCAGCAGTTAGGGAAATAAAAAATAAGAAATAGGCTGGGAGCAATGGAACAGCTTCAACCCTGGCAAAATGCTTTCTAAAACTTCAAGAGAATGGCACCACTTAATTACAGAAATTGCTGCTTTTTACCAATGCTCAGACATGCTGCCTGCTCACAGGATCTAGTTTTGATTTGTGCATTTATGCTCACGAGGGATGGTTTTCTCACACTTGCCACATCCATCCCCTGGCAGGATCAGGGAATGCCCAGGCCAGTTCTCTGCCCCTGGACCACCAGAGCCCTCATCCTCACCCCACTACTCTCTTCTTCCCCAAAGACCTCACTATGGGACAGTGGAGGCAGGATAGGCTGACTGAAGCGCCACACCATCGGGGGCCTCAGAAGCACTGGTACACTTGCTATCCCACAGCCAGGCCTGACACCAACAACCCTAGAGGAACACACAGGGGGTCTCGACCTCACCAGGCCACCAAAAACTGGAGGAGGGGGGACTTCCCTGGTGGGCCACTGGCCAAGACTCGTGCTCCCAATATAGGGGCCCTGGGTTCGATCCTTGGTCAGGGAACTAGATGCCACATGCCACAACTGAGATCTTGCATGCCACAACAAAGGTGGAAGATTCTGCACAGTCAAATAAATAACTTTGAAGAATGCTGGAGAAGAGTATGTCCTAACCCTGGCTTCCCAGATGGGCCCTGCCCACCACCAGGCAGTGGACGCTGGTACCAGAGTGGTCGACACAGATCACAGTACACGCCTGCCTGGCCCCCACCCTCCAGAGCCCCCAGATGCCTTTGGCAGAAGAGTCTAAACTCTCCATGATCTTCAGGCCCCCAGATGGACCTGCTTTCCACACAGCATCCACTCCTCCATCCGCCTCTCAGGCCCTCTCCTCCAGTCTGGACACACCTGGCTATTTCAACCTCTTAGGGATGAACATTTTTTTCTAATACTCCTTTATAAGACAAAATTAATTTTTTTATTTTTAATTTAAAATATTTTTATTTTTATTTTTATTAAAAATTAAATATTGTAGCCCCAAAGGGAAAGGTGATAGATTATTCTTTTTAATTATATTAGTATATTTTTTAAAAACATTCTTACATACCTGCCTGTTGCAGTAAGAAATAACATCAGGGTGTACACGTCCATTTACTAAATAAGAATGCAATTAAAAAGAAATCTGCCATTTGGGGGGGCTTCTCCGGTGACTCAGTGGTGAGCATTCCACCTGCCAATGCAGGAGACACAGGTTCCACCCCTGATCTGGGACAATCCCAGACGCCGCGGGGCATCTAAGCCAGTTCACTATTGAGCCTGAGCTCTAGAGTCCGGGAGCTGCAACTACTGAAGCCCGCATGCCTTAGAGCCTGTGCTCTGCAACGAGAGAAGCCACCACAATTAGAAGCCTGCACACCACAACTAGAGTAGCCCATGCTCACGGCAACTACAGACAAGCCCGTGAAGCATGGAAGACTCTCACAGCCAAACACACATAAAGAAAATTATTTTTAAAAATCATTAAGATGATGAACTTTACCACCACCACCACAACAACAAAAAGGATTTTAAAAAACCCTTGTCTGTAGCCACAGTAATTCTTTAGAACTTAAGCCTACAGAGGCTTTCAGGCACTTGTGTATTTCATCCCTGTGTGATGATTTATAAACATATGGTGTGTATTTTATCATTGACATTAACATTGCCTGTGCATGGTGGTTATGGAAACCAGACAAACTTCAGTCCATCTTGTTACTGTCTTCAGAATCTCTCTGGACAATGCACCTTCATGCTGTGGGCAGCCCTCAGCCCATCCTCGGGCACAGCTTACTCTGAGGCCTGTGCAAATGCTGGGCAGATGCCGTCCCTGCTCCCTGTTGGCTGCGTGGCCCTGGGAAGGTAATTGGTTACCTCTCATTGATAACATGATCTCCAAGGCACAGAGATTCCATTGATAAGACATGTAGCCTTAGGACAGGGCTTAGGACACTATGTAGTCAAGTACTTACTCCACAAGGAGGATGTTCCTCATCCTCAGAAAGCACTACCCAGACTTCTTTCCTTTGAACTGTTTCCCAATATTGAACAATCAGGTTTTTTGTTTTTTAACGTAGAATCTAGCTTTATAATTTCTTTCAAAACATTAGAAGTTAAAAAAAAAAAAAATCAGAAGGACTGGCATCATGGGACTCATCTTTCCCCAGGGTGATGACCTGCCAAAAACAAGTGGCCAACATCTTTTGAAAGGAGGATTTTCAACTCCCCAGTTTGCCACAGTCCCCACCACCCCCTACTGTCATCCCAATGAGCTTTACATTACACATAAATAAAAATCCACACCCAGGCAACAAAATACATTAGGAAACTTTCATTTCACCCACAGACTCGCCAATGCAGTGATCAAGAGGAACTTTAGGTTTTCCCATAACTTTCCATATATTCACTGAAGCAAAGAAGCCACAGTCTGTCAACCTTGCGGCAGGCCTCAGATTGTCTGCCCTCCAGCCGAGAGGCCTGTCAGAGCAAGGATGGCTTCCTGTGTGAAGCTGCACTCTCCCTCCCTGCCCACGCAGCAGGGCACTTATCATTTCAGAGAACAGCCAGGTAACTTTAGCTAAACTGTTTTGAGGGTTCTTTTTGTTTTTTTGTTTTGTTTTTGTAATTCTTGACCTGGGGCATGTGGGATTTTAGTTTCAAGACCGGGGATCAAGCCCACGCCCCCTGCAGTGGAAATGCAGAGTCTTAACCACTGGACTCACAGGAAGTCCCTAAACTGCTGACAATATCACAATATTTACAACACAAAGGTGCACATTAGAATGTGTCAAATCATACTGTCCTTTAAGTCATAACGTGACTTGAGTGGATAATTTAGGTTTTGCATCCATTAGAAACTTTGATGAACTCAGAGTTTAAGTAGCTGGTGGGGGTGGGGGGTTGCAGTTCTTTGCTCTCATTTTTACTCGGTGGGCCCAGAATGCTTTCTATAGGACTGAGAAAGGCAGTGTCTGTGGGGAAGGGGAAATTTCCCTCTTCCTCCGTTGAGTTCCTGTGGCTGAGCTAATAATCAAATGGACATAAGACACATAAATAGGAGAAAAAGAAATAAATTTTAATTTGTGTTCATAGAGGTTTTGTAGTAATGGGACCTAAGAGGTGGCCAAAGCAAGCAGCTTGTATATTTTTTAAGACAAAGAAACAATAAATTTGAGAGGAATTGACAGGAAAAAGGAAGTGAGGCTTTGGGAACTGTAATCAGAGTTTGGCCTTGGGGTGGTAAATTAAAGAAGTACCACGTTTGTTTATATAGACTCTCCACCGTAGATGCCCTGGTTCTGGCAATAAGGATTCCTTCCACCTCCAGATGCAGGCAGTGACCCTTTTACAGGAGAGATTGATTTCCTGCTTTTTGGAAGGCAGAGAGGAGGGTCACTGGTTCCCTCTTGTATTAACATCTATCTCAAATGCGAGTCTCTCAGTTGTGTCTGACTCTTTGTGACCCTAAGGACTGTAGCCATCCAAGCTCCTCCGTCCGTGGATTCTCCAGACAAGAACACTACAGTGGGTATCCATTCCTCCTCCAGGGGGTCTTCCCGACCCAGGGGTCGGACCTGGGTCTCCCGCATTGCAGGCAGACTCTTCACCATCTGAGCCACCAGCAAAGCCCTAGGTAACTTTCACTCAAAATGACCAGTGTGCCGTTAGGGCATCTTTGGGGATGGCCTGACCCGGCAGAAACCATCTTCACTTTAGACTTCTTACTCTCTCTCCTACCATTGTTATCTCAGGGCAAAAAGAGAAGTTTGTGAGAATAAATTCAACTTCTCTATCAGCTGAAAATTAGAACTACTTGACTATGGTGTTAGAGTCAGTTTGTGGAGAGCTAAAGAAATCATACTGAGAAGATAAGCATACAAACAGAGAATTCCCAGGAGAGGAAGTCCCAGTGATCAACACACAGAAAAAGATCTGCCCATCCCTTGAATCCAGGGAAAGGCAAAATAAGAAAGGAATGAGCTGTTTTCTCTCACTGATCAGATCAGCCAAACTTTTGAAGTCTGACTCTATCAAGTCTGAGCAAAGACAGGGGAAATGAAGTCTCTTGCACTGTTGGTGGAGGTGTAAATTGCTTCAGCCAATTGGAGGAGATTTTTAGCACATATGGCTGCAAGTCCTTATTGAAAATCTGAAATCAGATATGTTTCAGCATTTCTAAAAATAATTTTTATTCATTTATTTATTTTTGGCCGTGCTGGTCTTTGTTGCTGTGTGGGCTTTTCTCTAGTTGTGGCCAGAGGGAGCTACTCTCTAGTTGCAGCAGGAAGGCTCTCATTGTGGTGTCTTCTCTCCTGATGCAGAGCACGAGCTATAGGGAGCAAGGGTTTCCGTAGTTGCAGCCCCTGGGTTCCAGAGCACAGGCTCAGTAGTGGCACACGGGCTTAGTTGCTCGGATACATGTGGGGCCCTCCTGGACCAGGAACCAGCCCCGTGTCTCTTGCACTGGCAGGCAGGTTCTTTACCACTGAGCCAACAGGAAAGCCCCTGTTTCAGAATTTATTGTTTTCCATTTAGTTTGAAAAGTAAAAGGTGCAGAAACCCATTCTTACAACACCACTCCCAGTGAATTCAGGAACAGCACCTACTGTCAGCACTTTGACTGTTCTTAAATAAAACATCAATATTCACACTGAATGGGCAGAAGACTTTAAACAGTCTCAACTCAAGTATGTCGGCTTTCCCTGCAAAGGACTTTGATGAGAACTTATGGGGAAAGTGATTTTAGAGGTTTTGGGGGTTTGTTTTTTATTTCAGAATGGTGGGGAGGGATCTTGGATCTGTAATTAGTAAACTTGAACACAGACATAGTTCAAGACCTAGCAATTCATCTCATAAGTATGTGCCTTAGAATATGAGATTTGAAGTTTTTTTCTCAATTAAAAAAATTTTCAAAGCACAGTTGGTGTACAATGTTGTGTTAATTTCTGCCATATAGCAAAGTGACTCAGTTATGACTATGCATAGCCTTTTACACACTCTTCCATTATGGCGTGTTACAGGACATCAACATAGTTCCCTGCGCTACACAGTAGGACGTTGCTGTCGACTCATCCTGTATATAACCGGCTGCACCTGCTAACAGAATCGGAGCTTTTCTGAGTGCAGTCCACAGCATGAGAGGCGCGAGTCAGACTCCCCTGGTGGTCCAGTGGTTAGGGCTCTGCGGTCCCACTGCAGGGGGCGCGGGTTCGATCCCTGCTCAGGGAACTACTATTCCACACGCTGCTCAGAGCAGTTAAAAATCAAAGCAACACAATCACATGCAACCCATTTCACAATACTTTGTGTGAGTGAAACGAAAGTTTCATAAAACAGTATTTACCTTCCTGCAGGTGGCCGTTCTGATATCTTCTGTTTCATATTTCATCATTTGGGTGTTTAATATGTGCCAGACATAGTTCTAAGCCTTTTCCCCTATATTTCATCCTTTCAAAAGTTCTTGGGTAACAACTCAATGATAAAAAAGCCAAATAACCCAATTTTTTAAAATGAGCAAAGGGCGTGAATAGGTATTTTTCTGAAGAAAACTTACAAACAGCCAATGGGAAGATGTACAATGTTATTAGCCACCAGGGAAATGTCAATAAAAACCACAACAGACAGCATTTCAGGTCAACTGGGATGGCCGTGATAACCAAAAAAGAGACATACCAAGTGTTGGCGAGGATGTGGGAACTGGAACCACAAGGGAGGAAAAACTTTCCCCTGCTATGTTAGGTTCAGTAGTGGGGGCAGATTAGCAAAAGAAAAGATAGACTTTTATAGATACTGGAAGTTCACAGGAAAACATAATCTCTAAATAGCTGAAGACTTAATAGGGGAGAAGGATATGGGAAAATGCTTCTATGGAATAACAAATGGGTTTACAGAGGAGCCGATGGGAAATAAGAAAGCCTGTAATGTTTGTTTAAGCAGGTGGTGCAAGTGGTAAAGTACCCACCTGCCAATGCAGATGAGGTTCGATCCCTGGGTTGGGAAGGGATGGAGGCAGGCATGGCAACCCACTCCAGTAGCCTTGCCTGGGAAATCTCACGGACAGAGGAGGCTGGCGGGCTACAGTCCATAGGGTCGCAAAGAGTCGGACATGACTGAAACGACTTGGCACAACACACAAGCAGGTACAAGGATCTTCCATTCTCTTCTTTCCAGCCCTAGAGAGGAGGTTTATGGCATCATCACTCCAGAAGTTTCTACCTTAATCAAATAAAGGAAGCTCTGAAAAGGCTCTTCCTGCAAATATGACTCTCGAATGAATGTCTTTCCTTTAAAATGATCTTTGTATCAATTCTGGAGGCCTCATTGGGGCCCCAAAGGACCTTCATTCGCTGCTGATGGGAATGCAAAATGGTGTGGACACTTTGGAAAATAGCCTGGCAGTTCCTAAAAAATTAAACATAAAGCTGCCCTATTGTCGAAAGTGAAAGTCACTCTGTCATGTCAGATTCTTTGCGACCCCATGCACTATACAGTCCATGGAGTTCTCCAGGCCAGAATACTGGAGTGGGTAGCTTTTCCCTTCTCCAGAGGATCTTCCCAACCCAGGGACTGAACCCAGGTCTCTGCATTGCAGGCAGTTCTTTGCCAGCTGAGCCGCCAGGGAAGCCCCCGTTGTTGTTCAGCCACTCAGTCGTGTCCAACGCTTTGTGACCCCATGGACTGCAGCATGCCAGGCTTTCCTGTCCTTCACTGTCCCCTGGAGTTTTCTCAAACACACGTCCATTGACTTGATGATGCTATGTAGTTGTCTCATCCTCCACCACCCCCTTCTTTTGCCGTCAATCTTTCCCAGCATCAGCATCTTTTCCAATGAGTTGCCTACAATCCAACAATTCTGCTCCTAG